AGAAACATCTTAAATAGCTCAAATTTTTTCACTGTGTTAGTTGCCTTTCTGTTACTTAAATTACTGTACCTGGGAAAAATCAATTTAAAAGGAGGAAGTATATTTTGGATAGAAGTTTTAGAGGTTTCAGTCTATGGGTGGGTGGTCTCATGGCTTCTGGGTCTAAGGCAGAACAGTCCATTATGGCAGGAGTGCACTACGAAGCAAGCTGCTCACTGCATGGTAGCTAGGAAGCTAAGGGAGGAAAAGGAGGACCCAGGATCGTAATAATCCCTTCAAGTACAGGCCCCTGGTGATCTAAGACCTGCTGGGCCCTGCCTCCTTAAAGGTTCCATTGCCTTCCAAGAGTACCAAGCTGGGGACTAAGTCTTCACTAATACACAATCCTTACAGGGGACATTTAATATCCATGCCATGGCACTATCATCACACTTTATGTTATTGTTAGACAGCATTTTAATTTGCCTTCATAATTCATTTATTGTTTTATATAGTCTATGGTTGTTTACCAGTTTTGTTAGGTTAATCGTTCCTTTTTACATTTCAGATATTCTGACTTCAAAATCCTTTAAATAAGAATCCATTGGTGTTGTTCGTTGGTTTTGTCTAAAAATGTTACTTTGCCCTAAAGTTTATCCTACTGTCTCTAGCTTCACCAGTCTGCTGTTCTGAGTTAAACAGTCATTCTTTTTAAGATAGGAAATGGGTCCTTTCACAGGTCTGTTTTCAAGACTATTATCTTCTGTAATTTTATTCAATGTGTCTTAACTACTGATATATTTTTTATACACATGCAATTCATTATACTTCCAGAATATAAGTTGGCTATTATTTTAACACCTTCTCCTCCTAGTCTGTTCATTACTTTTAGAACTCCAATAGAATTTTAGACATTTTTTTCTTCTAGCCTCCATTTCTTTAATTCTTTCTTTTGCATTTCCAATCTATGTAACTTTTTTGCACTGCACTTGGGGTCCTTTCTTTAGATCTTCTGTTTATAATTTTTATTAAGGTGTGTTTAATGTGTTTTACTTACCACTGACTTTTAAATTTCAATCATTAAAATTTTCATTTCTAGATGCTCTTTTAAAATTCTATTTGGCTTCTGGATACTGACTTTTATTTCCTTTCTGATGTTTTTGGCTCAGTTTTTAAAATTGAGCACAGTATTTTAACCACATTAAAGTATTTGTATCTACTCTTCGGACTGCTACTGTCTTGGAGTTTCCTTTATTGTGCAGATTGTGTAAATTCAAATCCTAAACTGGGTTGAGGACATTTAAAAAAAAAAAAAAAAAAACTGCAGAGGAAATGAACACAACCCCTAAAAAAAAACCCATGTGAAGACAGACAAGTTCCTCTTCATCACTCTTTTGCTTCTGTCCAGATTCTTCTTTGGGCCCTCCATTGCATGAAGAATACCTTTCAAATACTGATTTCAAATAAGCCTCACTTCCAATATGAGGCCTTCTGTGAGTTTGAGAGCATGTGCCCACAAGCGTGTCAAAACTCAGACTTTTTTGTAACTAAAATAGGCAAATGCCTCCAGGAGAATAGTGGGGTAAGAGCCACCTTAAGAAGTTAGTTTACAGTTCCTTATTTATAGCCTATGAACATTTCATAACTTTTCGAAAGCTCGGCCATGCATTTTGAGTGGCTTTATAAAAACATTTCAACCAGTAATACTTGGTATTTTGCTGTAGAATTTTCAGGTTATTATCTGACATGATATAAATATTACATGAAATAAAATCACAGGTTTAAATTTTTCAATTCTAAAAATATGTTCCGTGCAATACTATTTTTATGGACCTATCATATTGGAACAAGAGTCAGGAAGTATATTCTAGCCCTGAGTTTGTTAGTTGCTATTAGTGACCCTAGGTAAATCATCTACCATTTCTTAATTTAATTATCCTTAAATTAAAAAACTGAATCAAGTGACCTCCAACCAAGACAAGAACTTGTGATCCTTTTGTCTCAACCTCCCTACCTTTACCATTTTTAAGAATGCCATTCATTAGAATTAAGTACAATCTCCTTATTATGCAAATTAAGCTTTAGTTTGAGATTTAGGTTAGTTTTAGGCAAATAAGAATAAGTCTCTTTTATCTCCTTTTCTTACTCTACCTTGCCTTTTCCTTTCCATTGGCTGGAACAATATAGCAAAAGAGAAACGCTACAACCTAAGTTCATCTAACTAAAACTCTGAAAGACTCAATTCCTTGTACTCCCTTAGGTTTTCGTTTTTTTTTTCCTGGAGGTTGAATTCATTCATAATTTTGGAGACCTGTAAACCATATAAATATATGACTCCTGCAGTGTGAACATAAACTATTTTTAAAAATTAGGGGTTTTAATAATTTTTCTTGAGTCTCTTTCATATTCAAGTAATAGACTTTAGAAATACTTATGCTATCATCATTATATTGTTTGCTTGCTCTCTCTGGTGCTGGGGTCAAACTCAGAGTCTAATACATCCTAAACTTGGGCATGACCACTGAGCTACACCCCAACCCTATTTTTGTAGTTTTAATTGGCTTAGTTTTGCTAGCTCCTTCTTTGTCAATGGTTTTGCATGTCATTGGGTTATCCAATATCACTCATACTGACTTCAAGTATTGAGTATATTACAATTTCACTTTGCAGTCACTAGCATAATAGCGTTAGATGTTCACAACATCAGTACCTATGTAAGGATGTAAAGGCAAATGCCTTTACAAAGTGCTGTTAAGTGGAGGAAGGAATGTTTGAGGAAGCCGAATTTAATGAGGTACCTAGTTCATGAAAACGTTTTCCTGTCACAATTATTTCTGCTTCAATTACATAACAATGACAGTGAGTTTGAATAATAAACACTCATAAAATGAGGTACTGTGTGCTCTGTTGTTAGTCGCAAGTATATTCCTTCAATCAGATGCTCTTTTTCATTTAAATCACAACTTTGGATTTGTCTTATCACTTCTAGTTAGATGTCATCTCTGTAAAGGATCCACAATTTAAATCAGTGTACCACTGGAGTAATAAGACTTCATCACACAATAATTCCAGTTGGGGGAAATTAAACTTCCCTGGTACTTATAGTAAAAAGCTTCATCTAAATCTCCACTTGCCATTTTGATTTTAGAAAGATTATAAAAAGAATATAAGTAAACCTATATACTTCATCAATTCCAAGATGATTTTTCTAGATTTTAAGATTTCTAATATTAGCATGTTAAAGGTTACAATTACAATCAGCTTTTTTGTTTGTTTTTTAGCTATACATTAAAGTACTTTCTATACTATATAGTGTGTGAAGTTAAAATCAAGTCTAAAATCTAATATAGGAACTGGGTGTGGTGGTGTACACCTGTAATCCCAGCACTTGGGAGGCTGAGGTTCAAGGCCAGCCTGGGCTATATAGTGAATTCAAGGCCTGCCTGAACTACAGAAACTGTCTCAAAAAATCAATCTATCAATCAAATCTAGTAACATGATACCAACTAGTAGCCAAAATATTAAGTGAGACAACATCTCTGCAGCATGGAACTTTTTCTCCACTACAATACAAACACATATATTTTTTTATTATGACTAGGCACTGCTCTAGGAGTTTTACTTAAGTATATCATTTCTTACAATTACCCCTTTTAGATAGGTTACTGTTATTAGCCTCGTTGTCATGGTCATGGATGAGAGCAACAAAGCACAGACATGTTAAACTGAGCAAAATGGATGACTTGGATGTTTTATCTGCTGGTAAACAAACAAGTGATATTCTAGATAAAAGCATTTTATGAAAGCATGCTACTAATTTTTAGTATCTGCCAAAGAATTGCGATCTATTTGCAGAACAAACAGCCATATGGTTTTCCTAGTTAAAGCCCTTGGGTAGGCAAAATAACGATTGCCCACAAAGATGTTTGTGTCCTAATTCCTGGAAACCCAAAACATACTATTACCTAAAACAGCAAGTGACTTTGCTGATGAAATTAAGGATGCAGGCTTGGAAATGAGATTACTATCAATTATTCAACTGAGCTCTTAAAAATAAAGACAATCTCTCCATACTGCAATCAGTGGTTGCTTTCAATAGGGAAGGTTCAGAGGAACATCACAGGCTCTGAAAAAAAGAGGGCCATAGGCCAGAAATGTAGAATAGAAGTTGGAAAGAGCAAGAAAACGGAATTGCCTACATCCTCCAAAAAGGAATTCACACCTCTAACATTGGATTTTAGCTTAGGGAGACCTGTATAGGGCTTCTGATCTACAGTACGGTTGCCTGTGACACATTTGTGCTGTTTTAAATCAAATTTTTAAAGAAGAAAAGGTTGTGAAAATTGGTTACAGCACCAACAGGAAACTATTATAGGCACACTTTGGTTAACCCGGGCAATGAGATCCGGTAGAATCAAGCAGACACGCTAGCACGTGCTGGAGTCCACGAGGCTCGGTCTGCAGGGTCTGGAAGTGTCCACAGGCAGACCCATCTGCCTCCTTCGCGAGTGGCTGGCGCCCTTAACTTGCTGGCTTGGCCCTTCCATTGCGCCACACACGCGCCATAGGGTGGAGGCAAGAGGCGGGGAAACCCTCCAGATTTTGACGGTGTTTGCACGTCTGCCTTCTACTGATGGCGAGAGTTGCTTGTTTCCTACTCTCAGAAATTGATTTACTAGAAAATGTGTTACCCGGGAAAGCGCGCTCTGGGAAGGTGCTGCTCACCCTGTACTCTGGCTGCGGCAAAGACACGAAGAGGCGCGCGCTACCGCTCAGACCGAAAACCAAGGCCACGAGGACACAGTCCAGCCGCTTCATTCAGTTCTCATCAAACTTGCAAGTCTTCGCAGTCCTCCTTGGAAGCAGTCGCAACCTCACGAGAGTTTCTGGTCTCGCGGGACTTCCACTACAAGCCTGCAGGTGGAGCCCGCGGGAAGATCGCTGCGCTCACGTTAGCCCCGATTCTCTTCTCGCGAGACCCGGCTCCAAACAGACCCAGTTCTCGCGGGAGTTTTGGGGCTTCAGTCAGGGTAGGAAGTGATGGGCGGTAGGCAGTGGTTGGACGTTGAGAGGAAAGTTTAGGGGTCGCAGTGTCAGCCTCCTGGCCTTCCCAGGCGGCGGCAGCTGCTGAGCGTGAAACAACAGAGTGGTACCCCCGGCCTGGACACCTCCGTCCCTTTCCCTCCACCTTCTGGCGCTCAGGGCTCCCGGGCGATGCTGGCCGTGGCCGCCGAACCCGGGTTGGATGGAGTCCCCCGCCGCCCACAGCCCCGGCGCGGACGCCGCCGGCCCAGGTATGAGCTCCGAGCTCGCCTCCTGCCCACCCCCACGGGTCTCGACCGCCCTCGGGTGAGGGCTCCTGAGGGACGTCTGCCGGTCGCGTGCCCCTTCCTGGCAGGGTCGCACTACCCCGGCGCTACTGCTCTCTGGACCTGCGGAGCAGCTTCGGGCTCTTTCCTGGGCTGTAAAGCAGTGTTCTCGTGACTGTCCAATGAGATGGGATGTATGCAAAGCATTTATGTGACTTCACGAGTGATTCCCAGCGAGAGTTCAGTACATGTTAGGTATTTTTATTCTTTACTCTTACATGCCCCAGTCATTAGCGCATAGAAATTTGTTATGTAGTTGAACGAAGACTGAGTTATTTAGTTTCATTGCACAGGATTTAACACATGATTATTGAAACAGGGATTTATATTCTCTCTGTGTTGGGTCACCAAAAGAGGGTTTAAGGTAGGTGGGGTTACCTGCCACGTTTTCTGGGATGGCTTCTGCCCACAAAGTAACAGCTTTCATGGATAATGGTTATATTTCAGTGCCTCCAGGTTTTGAGTGTTCTATGCCCAGCAGTATACTGATTGTTTATCTACTTGCTTTTTCCTTTGAGCAAGGTGTTTATCACTTTAAATAGGTAGTGAAACTAGAGGTAAATCTCAGAAATGGAAGTAAGTAGCAAGTTTGAATTCTGAGAGCAAGGAATTGATGACTTAATTCAAGGACCACAAATATAATTACCTGTAGCAGTCTGGCAGGTAAAAACAAATGAAGTTGCTGGCAGAGATTATGGGATGCTGTTTCCTCAGCTAAATCTAGTGAAACAGTCACTTTGGTATTTAGGGAAAGTGCTGGCAAAAGGGACAGAAAGCTCAAGGCACCTGAGGTAGGCCCATGATTGCCATGTTTGAAGAATAAGAAGGAGGGAAATTTGTAATGATAAAGGGAGAAAGGGCCAAGATCTGAAGGAACGTTACTCTCACTATTCAGCCCCACAGGAAATCCTCCCAATTTAAGCAGTTCGCCTGGTGTTTGGCTACTAGCCCAAATTTAGTTGGGTTTATCCAAACTCAAGAACCAAAAAGATACCACGCAATTGTTTTGAGATGCCTTTCAGGTTTTTTGCACGTGCTGTACCACCTGAAACACTCTCCTTCCCTTTTAAATTGCTTCCCAATATTTATTTCTCGTAACACTGTATTCTGTTCTTCCAAAGCACTTTTGTTTTACAATTACATATATATTTATGTATACAATTACATATATATTTTTAGTATGTGTCTCTCACTAGGTATCAAGAATCTGGTTTTGTTTTAGAAAGACATTCAGCACATATATTATTATCTGTGTGTTGGTACTAGGCATAAAATTTTGAACAATACAGACTTTTTCTTGGATAAGAAATTATCTGTTGTGGAAGACACAGGCAAAAGCAAGTAGGCATGATAAATGTTGTAATAAGTGCTATAAAGGTAATAATATGCTAAGATAGAGAGTAATAGGGTATCTTTAAATAAGGTGGACCAGGAGTAGAAATGAGTTAGTAATTTAGGACAAAGCTCATGCATTATGGCAAAGGTCACCAAACGTGCTTATGGCCAAAGCTAGCCTGGTGGTGTTTTGGTTTTTTTTTTTTTTGTAAATAAAGTTTTATTGGAACACAGTCTGTTCATTTGTTTATGTTTTGCCTGTGGCTGCTTGTGCTTTGGAAGGGCAGAAGACTATATACCTTGTAAAGTCTAAGTTAACAAATAGCTACTATCTTGACTTTTTTACAGAAGTTTGCCAGCCTTTCCCTTATAGTGGTTGTATGCTTGGAGGAAGTAATATATTTTTGAAGTAGAACCAGAAAGAAATATGATGGATTGGATGTAGGAGTGATAATCAAAGGGCGATTAATGACTGACTAGTTTTTTATCTAGAAAAGTTGACTATACATGGTCCCAGTTCATGAGATGCAGAAAGACTAGTCATCACTTATAACATCACTTTTCTTCATTTTAGACCCACTTAGTGGTACAATATTTGGTGGGTAGTGCTTAAATTATGTTAAGTAGCAAATAAATTAGTGAATTAAGTATTTAAAAAGGAGAAGGCATCTACTGGACAGGCAAATGTAGTGTGTTTGACCCAAAGTGTCAAGAATTTCTGTGGGGGTAGTATCAAGATTTTAGTTCAAATAGGACATAAGTATAAAACATATTGGTCTGTATGTCGTTTTACCTATACAGTAGGCCAGTGTGTTCATTTTACATTAAAACTGTCGTTTGGAATAGTATGATAGTTCTCAAACAATTTGGCTATCAAGATTAGACTAGGAGAACAGATTTCTTTTTTCCTGAGTACTTAACAATTGTTATTGTACAGCAACCTGTCCAAAGTACTTCTGAGGAACTACTAGTGAGGAATATCATGATGTTATTCTTGCTTACAACAATATAAGCATGTATTATAATCATATATTGTAATCGTGAATGTTAGAAAAGTCTAACTTGAGGCCATCAGACAGACCCTAGGAAACTACTATTGGTCATTTGGTCTCACTGAAAAATATATAAGAAAAGTAAGTCCTAGTATTCCTACATTTATAGCCCTTAATTTTTAGATTTTTTGCCAGAAGAAATTCCATTTGAAGAATTATTTTTATTTACCTTCCTCTATTTGGTACCTTTTAATTCTTACTAATGTTATGCTCTGTAGAAATCCCTCCCCATTTTCACAGCACTATGTCTTTGGAGTAGAAAGTAAAATAAATGACTGTACAGGTAAGCACAGAATAAGTACATAGAGAGATCAGACTCTTCTATTTTAAGATACTAGAAATCATCTCTTAAAACATCAGCCATTCAAATTGTAGGAGGGAAAAAGCTGCAACATTGTTCTGTAGTGAATTGGAAGTTTCCTTAGCTGATTGTATACCAGCTGAAGCAGTGGTTTAAAAGCAGCAATATGGACATGAGAAGAAACACCTCTCTTCAGGGAAAGGAGATGGAATAATTTTTGAAAAGCAGATGAATCAAAAAACATTACTGCCCAGAGGATTTTAGGTTACTCATTACCAAGTCTTACTCTTATTCTATCATATTATGAATAATATATGTATACTATTCTGAGTCATTAAGAATATTTAAATCAGGAGTTCTTAATTGTGACTGTGCATCAGACTCATACATGAATTCAACAATAACAGACAAATAGAATAATAAAATCAGATGCCCATGTCCATATCCACTGAATCAGAATTACCAGAGGTAGTGTCCAAGCAGTATATTTTGCCTGAGCCCCTAAGCAATATATTTTAAAACTCCAGGGGAGATTATGATACATAGCTAGAAAAAGAACCATAGGAAACAAATTATGTACCCTTTGTTCTGCTTATTGTAGATCATCTGATAATGTATTAGAAAAACACACATATTAGGGGCTGGGGATTTAGCTCAGCGGCAAAGCGCCTGCCTGGCAAGTGCAAGGTCGTAAGTTCGGTTCCCGGTACCAGAGAAAACCCCCAAAAAAAAAAAAAAAAAAAAGAAAAACACACATATTATATATTTTGCCTTGTTTCAGTTCTTTGGCAAAGTTATTTATGTGGTGCAGTTTTTCCCCTTTCAGCAGTGGATAAATGAAGTGCTACTTTATAAGCTAGCATTTTTATTTTCTTTTTTATTGTAGATACATGGCATCCAGGAGAAAGATGTCTTGCCCCTTCTCCAGATAATGAAAAACTTTGTGAGGCAAGCATAAAATCTATCACAGTGAATGATGGGAAGTCATTTGCAGTTGTCTTATATTCAGATTTTCAAGAAAGAAAAATACCACTTAAAAGACTTCAAGAAGTAAGATCTATTCAAGATTGTCCTAGGAATTTTATTTTTGATGATGAAGATTTGGAAAAACCATATTTTCCAAACAGAAAATTTCCTTTATCTGCTAATGCTTTTAAATTATCTGAAGATGGAGATGCTATTCCTTATACTATTAATAGGTATTTGAGAGAATACCAACGAGAAGGAGCCCAGTTTCTCTATAGGCACTACACTCAAGGAAGAGGTTGTATTCTTGGTGATGACATGGGTCTTGGAAAAACAGTACAGGTATTTATTTTAATTACTTTAAAATTAAAATGCATTAAGGACATTATATAGAGAGTGGATACCGTATGCAAATCCCTGTTTGTATTACCAACTCTTACGATAGATATTGTGTGTGTATGTCCATATGTTTTTGGTTTTGTTTCACCAGCTAGACAGTAAAGTCTCAAAGTTGACTGGTTTTCATTATTTTATCCTCAATATTATTTAATACCTATGAAATATATTATTCAAAAATACTGTTTTGATATAACTTGGCTTGATTTTTACCTTGTAATATTTGTATATCAATTATATTTGAAGTAAACTTTCTTAATAATGTCCTATATAGCACAATTAAATTAATTTCATGCCAGCCTTTGTAATATGATTGTCTTATCATATTGTTTCTTAACCTGGAATCCCTGAGTTACTAGTTCTATTGATAGACTTTATTTATTTATTTGTTTTTTACTGATAGACTTTAGAGAGGTTTCCTAATTCCCTGAAGTGTGTTCTGGAGTTTGTAGACTTGTGCACTTTTATGCAGAGATTATTTTTATAAGTTACCTGTTGCTATAAAACAAACCGCCTCCAAAATTAGCAGCTTAAAGCCGTACACATTTATCACTTTACAGTTTCTGTGGGTCAAGAATACAGGTATAGCTCAGCTGAGTCCTTTACTCTGGCTCTCACAAGGCTGCAGTCACCTGGTTGGACTGGAGAATATGCCCCTTCTAGGTCATATTGGCACTGGTAGGATTCACTTCCCTGGAGGTACTTGAACTGATACCTCCCTTGCTTCCTTTGCATATAGGCTTCATGGAGCATCTGAGCATTAGAGTGTGTATCAGAGGGGAGAGGAAATAGGAGGGCAACAGAGTGATAGTGAGTAGAAGTCTTGGTCTTATAATCACAAAAAAAGATGTCTCTTCCATTTGCCATTTTCCTTTTTTTAATTATTAAGTTTATTGGTACAATTTAGACATACCAAATGTTCATATTCATCATAGGGAATTTGTACCTATGCATGATACATCTTGATTCCTCTTTTTTCTTTCCATTTCCCTCCCTCCCTTAAACACCTCTTCTGCTCCCTATTTATAAAGCTTTGTTTCCATTTTATCCTTCCTTTATCTGTTTTTCTTTCCCCTTCCTTCCTGTCTAACTCTACCCTCGCTAGTTCCTCTTTCTTTTGAACCATGTCTTCTTATTTCATAATTCCTGTTATCCACTTCGGTCTTTATTTACACTTTCAGTTTCTCCCACCAGAAAAGCAATGCAATATATATGTGACCAATTTATTTTACTTAAGAGGATGGTCTCAGGGTCCTAGAAATACCTCAAGTTTATCCTTCTTCATGGCTGAGTAGTACGCCATTGTATTAAAAAAAATCCCACATCATTTTTATCCATTTTTCAGTTGATGGGCATTTGGGTTGTTTCCAACATTTGGCTGTTACAAATTATGCTGCTATAAACATGGATGTGTATATATCGCTGTGGTATGATGTTTTCAATTCTTCCATGAAGACACCCAGAAACTGGGTTAAATGGGACCTTCAATCCTACTTTTTGGGGGAATCTCTACACTGATTTTCACAGTGGTTGCACCAGTCTACACTCACACCAGCAGTGGAGAAGGGTTCCTTTTTCCCTGCAACCCTGCAGCATTTGTTATTGGTTAATTTTTTGATAATAGCCATTCTTTGTAGAGTGAGATGCAATCTCAGCATTGTTTTAATTGGCATCTCTTGAGTGACCAGTGATGTTGAACATTTTTTCATATATTTATTTGGCATTTGTATTTCTTCCTCTGAGAAGTGTGTATTCATCTTGGATGCCTATTTTTGGGTTGGATCTTTAAATTTGGCGGGGGTGGTCTGATATTTTTCAGTTCTTTATATATTCTAGGTAATTAGTTCCTTGTGTGAGGGACAACAAACTAAAATTTTTTTCTCACTCTGAGTTGCCTTTTCACTCTGTTGGTAATTTCTTTTGCTGTGCAAAAGCTTGTTAATAGGATGAGATCCTAGTTGTTGATTCTGTGTATTATTTCCTGTGCAATCAGGGTTTCGTTCATAAAATCTTTGCCTACACCTGTGCCTTCAAGAATTCTACCTATTCTCTCCTCCAGTAGATTTAGTGTTTCTTTTTAAATGTGTGAACCGCTGTTCCATTTTAATTTTAGTTTAGTGCACTGTGAGAGATGTGGGTTTAGTTTTAGTCTTTGACATGTGAGAGGTATAAGTTTTTCCAGCACCATTTATTAAAGAGGCTATCTTTCTTCCACTGAACATCTTTGGCCCTTTTGTCAAGAAGGACAGGTCCAGCCAATATTTGGCAGGAGGACTAATATGCTTGTGAATATCAAGAGATGGGCTTACTGGGAGTGCCTACCATGAATCCTTAACTTTCTTTAGGTTTTCAAAGATATTTGTGATCCAAAAAGATGGGAGTTTTGAATCTGGACTTTATACTAAATCACTCTGGATTTTTAGAAGTGTTTGCATAGTTTGTGATTATATTATTCTGTATTTCTTTCTTTCTAATTGAATTTAAACTGTTTTATTCAGAGGTACCTCCATTAGTTAGTGCAACTTAAAGGTAAGTGGAAAACTTAAGTAGTAAGATTTTTTTTAGGTAAAGGTAAGTTTAACAATTGAAAAATAGCCTAGAGCTGGGGATATAGCTCAGTGGCATAAGCACCTGCCTGGCAAGCGCAATGTTGTGAGTCCTATTCCTGGTTCTGGAAAAACAACAACAACAAAAAAGGAATAAAGTCCTTCAGTAATCATAGCATGTTACTGTTAGCTATAGTCTATGTTCCTTTAACCCCATGTATGTTAATCAGCTTTGTGTCACTAGCAAAAAACCTAGAAAAGTGAACTTAAAGAAAGAAAGGTTTGTCGTGGCTCACAGTTTCAGGAGTTTTAATCCATGGTCCGCTATTACTTCGGTCCTGAAGCAAGGCAGAACGTTGTGGTGGCAGGACTATGTGGTAGAGGACTCTACTTATCCCATGGCAGCCTGGAAACAAAGAGGGAAAAACATTATTCATTCATCTATAGATTGATCCACTGATGAAGTTAGAGCTCTTCTTATGAAGTCACCTTTAAAAGCCTGATGTCTGAATACACTAGCCTTTTGCAGGACATTTTACATCCAGACCGCAACACCAGGCAGTGCAAGTAGTGTAAGCATACACATGGGAGGTGTTAAGTAATCATGGAATGAATGAATGTTTTTTCTCAGGAGAGTAGGTGGTAAGGATAAAGAAAGCTTTCAGGAAACTGCCATCTGTGACCAAGATACGTGGAAGAGTACTAAAGAAAAATAAATAATTACAGTCCTGCTGTGGCTTACTGTTTTTACATATGTTAGAATGTTCTTAACTATACTACCTTAACTAGCCAGTCCCTGTTCATCTTCAAACTCAGTAACTTGAGAGTGCCATAAAAAGGAACCTGGTATTGGGAAGTTATCACCCCAAGTAAATACAGTTCAAATTTCTTTGCAGTTAATTTCAACTTTGAAGCTGATCTTTCTTGCTGAAGCTCATGTTCACAAATAAATTTCCTTTATTTTCCATTTTATAGGATTATTTTTAAAATGGCTGATTTTACTGCACAATTTCATGTTACCAACATGTTGAGCTTACTGGAAGGCTTTGAGTTACTGAGTTATATGCCCTGAATATGCTCTAAAAAGCCCTGGAAGGACCAATTGTCTAAGGATTAAGAAATAGTTTCTGTGATAATTTTGATACTCAGCTGGATTTCTCTGATCCTTGAGGATCTGCTTCTTTGATTATTGTTATTATAATTCAGAATAATTTCTACATAAATAGGCTGCTTGAGAGGCCCATTTAAAGTAAAGCATCTACTATAGATATAATGACAGAGTCAGTTGAAATGTGAACAATGATTAATAAGTTCATAACAATTTTAAAATGGTATAAAATTAGATGACAGTGAAAATAAAACCATTTGTATTTACTGTTTTAACTATATAGTTTCGTCTTTTTCCCTGCCATTTTTCTGATTTTATCTTTTAAATTTTCTCCTTCTTATATTCTGACTTGGCCATACTATGAAACAACACTCATTTTTAATTTTTTGACATGGAGTTTCACTACATTCCCCAGGCTGTTATCAAACTCTTGGGCTTGAACATCCCAAATTCCTGGGACTATACATACCTGGCTTTTTTGTTTGTTTGTTTCTAAAGTTTGTTTTATATACCAACTAGTTTCTTTCTCTTATTTCAAATTTAAAAGAAGGTAAATATGTTGTGGTCTACAAGGGATGAGATTTGAAAAATGTCCACTTGATATAGTGACATGCAAATTATTAGTATCTTGAGCAAGAGCCATTTTGCAGGAGTTGGGGGACACAGACAGAATGGAATAGGTGGAAGCATGGGCAGAAGTGTATGTGTCTCTTTCAGAAGTGTGGCTTTGAAAGGAGACAAAAAGGACACAGTAGTACTTGAAGAAGTATGAGGTCTTAGGGGGTTTCTTTTTGGTATGTTCTGAGATGGGAGAGTCTTTAGTATATTTTAAATGAATTAGAAGGACCTAGTTAAGAAAGAATAATTGAATACACAACATACATAAAAGTGTGCATATAAGCACGTATTCTTCATATGTGTGCATCTGTGGATACATACATAGAGAAATAGGCAAAATGAAGTCAGCTGGTAATTACTATCTTATAATCAGATTGTTTTTCATTTTTTTTTTTTTTTTTTTTTTTTGGTTTTTCTCCGGTACCGAGAACCGAACTCACGACCTTGCGCTTGCCAGGCAGGCGCTTTTGCCGCTGAGCTAAATCCCCAGCCCAGATTGTTTTTCATTTTGTGAAAAGTTATAAACAGATTTCTCCCAACGTCTAATTGTGAAACTTTTCAAACATAGTAGAAGAGTTGAAAGATTTGTGTGATGAAAATCCATAAACCCACTATTTTGTTAACATTTCATTATATATGGTTTTGACACATCCTGGCCCATCTGTCAGTCCATC